ATAACTACCCACCCGCCCTAGCTTCGCTTCGGAAACCGTAATTTATTATTAATTTCTCCACTAATTAATGGATGTTATTATACATATAAATCTTCCTCTTCAATAACTCTATCTATTAAAAAAACCGCAACAAAATCCGTTGCGTAGTTTTAAAGATTTAAGCATACATAGGGATATAGGGACAGAGAAAGCGACTTTGTTTTATCTATGTAGTGATGATAAAGGTATTTATATTATGTACATTCAACCCAAAAATTCGTCCGTGAACAAAGGCGTCACTCGGGTTTTTAATTTCGTACACTCCTCAAAGGGTGGTCCGAAGCTCGTTGTAAGCTTTTCTCACAGAGCTTACGTTTTTTGGTCGTCCCGAACGTCGCGCGATCGAACTTAATTGAAAACTGTCAATTTCTCAATACGAAAACTCGAATTTTTCATTCGAAAATTCTTACATTGAAAATTCGGTGTAATTTTTCTGTGACGGCAACCCTAAAAGTGTAATAACTTTTATTCCCTAGTGGAAAGGTAAATCGTCAAAGTTATAGCCTTCAATCCTATGTGTCGAGTTTCTCATGATACCCAGCTATTCTGGATAAATAATAACAAAAAGTTGAAGCTTCCACGATGATTAAATATCTTGAAATACGAAGGTTGAAGTCCTTTCAATTTGTCCGCCTTTGTAAAATATCGATAATTAGGACATCAAATCAATAGCTTGATTGGTAGGTCTATTAAAATTGGAATGCAAAGTATTATCTACATAATATGTATAAGCTTAGTTACTCCAATGCAATATTGTCCATCTTACGTATTTTTTAAGAGTACTTTTAAGTATTCCAAATATTGGTAGTAAAAATAATGACATTAAAAAAGATGAGATTGATCGTATCGAATTATAAAACTTTTTTTAATCATAATATTAAATAATTTACTTCGATATCTATACTAATATTATAAAGCTGAAGAGTTTGTTTGTTTGAACGCGCTAATCTCAGGAACTACTGGTCCGATTTGAAAAATTGTTTCAGTGTTAGATAGGCCATTTATTGAGGAAGGCTATATATAGGCTATATAATATCAAGGTAAGACCAATACAAATGGAGCACCAATAAAGAATGTTTCAAAATAGAGGTATAAATGGCTCCTTAACATTCTATAATTAAAAAAAAATTCACTTTCTACGTAAATGAAGTGGGGGGTAAAATTTAGCGTTATGCCAAAGTAACTATTCCACGCGGACAGAGTCGCGGGAAAAAGCTAGTAATTTAATATTTGAGAGACACCTTGCACGCACACATCCGGGCACGTGTGACGTGCATGGCTACATTTGTGCGCGTGCGGTTACATCAATCACTTCTTGCATCACACAAAAGAGATTAAACATTATTGCTTTACTAAACTATTACAAATTCCACATGTTGCCATTGTGTTCATTCACTTCCCAGTTTGGATTAATGCCAGAGCATTACATTGAATAAAGAAACACACTTCAAAAAGGGAGGAGGTCCTCAATTCGACTGTATCTTTTTTTTTATATTACCTCATAACTTTTGACTGGGTGAATCGATTTTGATGATTCTTTTTTTATTAGAAAGCTGACGCTTCCCGTGTGGTCCCATTTCAATTACCTACATAAGTCCAGTTCTGATAATGGTATCCATGAGAAAACCATATAAGCCTTAAATTTGCATTAAGTACGTGCGCGACAAATAGATGAATAACTCAATATTGAGCCAACCGATTTCGATGATTATTGTTTTTAGTGTATATTAATTTGTTTTGGAATATCTTTTTCTTTTCTATTTGACGTCGGTTTTTGTTAAACCATGTCTATTTACAATTATTATGTTTTCTCGTCGTTAATTGCACAGACTAGGTCTTGATCCACCTTCAGCTTAAGACTATACAGCGTTTTGTGGTGAAATAACGCATACCTACGTTGTCTTTCGTAGTCTCAACCCGTGTGCGTTTATGGACTAAAAAAACCCATTTTTCTATAAACTCCACAAAAAAAAAACCTTATATAATACAACAATTACTGTTGGTAGGACCTCTTGTGATTGCTGGTGGTAGGACCTCTTGTGTTTACTGGTGGTAGGTCCTCTTGTGAGTCCATGCGGGTAGGTACCACCACCCCGCCTATATCGGCCGTGAAGCAGTAATGCGTTTCGGTTTGAAGGGTGGGGCAGCCGTTATAACTATACTTGAGACCTTAGAACTTATATCTCAAGGTGGGTGGCGCATTTACGTCGTAGATGTCTATGGGCTCCAGTAACCGCTTAAGACCAGGTGGGCTGTGAATTCATCCACCCATCTAAGCAATAAAACAAAGTGTTTAATAGCTAACAACACATTTTAGCGTGTGATTTTAAACAACTGATAATAAACGTCGCGTGATACCTGCTGTGTTTATGGCGAAATTAATTATGGAACAGGTTTTAATGATTACATTAATTACCGGTGCAATTAATGCTAACAGTTTAAACTTATTTGGATTAAAACTCATTTGAGAAACAGAGAGAGAGAGAGAGAGAAACATATGGATGTAGAATTGGTAAAGAGATCCGATGGTAGTGTCACCGAAACACTGCTCTTACTAGGGCCAGTGTTGGCAAGCTCTCTCAGGCTGAGCCCCGTGAGCTCACATATCAGTTCGTGCGTAGTTGGAATAGCCTCTAAGGCTACCTGTCATGGCGTGGAACCTCTTTGACAGGACATAAGACCTACAACGACTAGATACAGACTAAGACAGAACTAAGAATTCAGACTAAGAATTCAAAAATAGAGTTTTTTTTTTTTATTTCCCTTGGAGGCAGACGTGCATACGGCCCACCTGATGGTGAGTGGTTACCGTTGCCCATGGACTTCAGCAATGCCAGGGGCAGAGCCAAGCTGCTGCTTACCGCTAAACGAGGGAAAGAGAGAGAGAGTATTCTTTATTGTACACCCAAAAACAAATAAACAGTGCGATACATTAAACACAAAAAAATACAATTGGCGGTCTTATCGCTAAGAGCGATCTCTTCCAGACAACCATCAGGTGGACAAGAATCATTGGGAAACGAACTACGCGCGGTGTACCATTCCAGTGAAATACATATGCATATACATATATGTACACATACATATGCACATACATACACACATACATATCTCCGTAAATATATATACAATTAATACACTAAGTATTATAATATAATAATTATTATTAAAAATAAAAAAAAATATTAAATTTGAATGCGATATATTGAGTTAAGTTTGCAGTGTATTGCGCGTCTTATCCATTAAGGACATGGACGGTATGTGCATATGGAGTGTTATTTGATGGCTCAAGGACCCTGCAAAAGACTGAACAATCGTTAACAACCTACCTGGGATAAAGGCTTTGTTACTTTGCGAGAGAAATAGGCAGGATTACGATAAGCTTCCACCAGTAAAAGCTTCTCCAAAGTAAGCTTAGTTGAATTTCAAATTAAATCGTTCTAAGGTGTACGCAAAAAGAAAATATTAGGTATCTATTAAATAAAAACTAAAATGAAAATAAAGTCGTTAAAACTGCATTTAAGTTACGATTAAAAACAAATTTACGGATTCACATTTATTTTTTATTGCTTAGAATAGTGGACGAGCTCACAGCCCACATGGTGTTAAGTGGTTACCCAACCCACCCTAAGATATAAGTTTTGAGTCGTGGCCTATACGATAAGACGTCCGGTGCATTTAGATGTCTATGGGCTCCAGTAACCACTTAACACCAGGTGGGCTGTGAGCTCGTCCACCCATCTAAGCAATAATAAAAAAAAGATACAAGTTCTAAGGTCTCAGTATAGTTACAACGGCTCCCCACCCTTCAAACTGAAACGCATTACTGCTTCACGGCAGAAATAGGCAGGGTGGTGGTACCTACCCGCGCGGACTCACAAGAGGTCCTACCACCAGTGATTTTTAATTGAAAATTTCCCATGTTTTGAATACTGTACAGTTTTCAAAGCATACAGTTAATAAACAGTTTTTAACGCGTATACGAGCTGTGAAAATCTAAATGAATATTGTGGTTAATTCTTGAATATGTTACCGTAATTGTTTTTATAAAAAAAATACCTGCCTGGAAAAATTTTTCGACAAGCCTATGATTATTGATACGAACGTTTTGTGTCTAATTGGATTTTTAAAGAACAAAAAAATACAAAATAGAATAGATTTCTATTAAAATTACTTATTCAAATATACTTATTATAATATTTATTAAATACTAGCTGACCCGACAGACTTCGTAGTGCCTCAATCGATAAATAAAAGACCTAAACATTTGTGTAAAATAAACTTAAAACAAACTAAAGGAATCCGTCCGACGGGGGACACATCAAAGGAATAACAAAATTGTTATTTTTATTTAATTCCGAGCATTTTCATATTTATCTTTTACCTTTTAAACCTTCTCTGGACCTCCACAAATAATTCAAGACCAAAATTAGCCAAATCGGTCCAGCCGTTCTCGAGTTTTAGCGAGACTAACGAACAGCAATTCATTTTTATATATATATATATAGATAGATTATTATATTCAGTTTGCAGATGATAAAAGAAAGGATTTTAATTAATTAATACAACATAGTGTTCGGCTTTTAATATAGAATATTATTTATACTAATAATATTTAACAAGATCCCGGACAAATTTTAGAAAAGGAATTCATAATAATTAATAAAGTAAAAAAGTAAAATTAATATCACTTAAATCATTATAAATTTTTTTTGGTAAAAATTTCGATGTTAACATTGGATGTATGTGCTGCATATGTTTCTGCAGATATATCAAACCATAATAAAAGCAATGCTCACGGTAAAATGTGATTAATAAATATTTGTGTTAGATAAATTATCTAACATATGGTGAGCTCTCGCCACTTGAGCTTACAAATCTAGGCAGACATCTCACGAGAGGAAGATATTTGGGAGTTCGGGTTGTATTTTTTTTGTTATAAAATAAATCTGAATACTCACAGGGTACGCAGGCGATAACAGTTCAATTTACTAGTCGCACACACATAATAATAATATATAACACGCACACACACAGAGACACAAAGTTAATTCACAAAAAAATACGTTTTCACTGCTGTAATTTTCATTAATAAAACATTTTTAATTCTCATCATTGTTACGACAATTCTTGTTACGCATTTTTTTGTTAGTTATTCTTACTGAATGTTTTGGACAAAGAGTCTTTTTTTTATTTAGGATTTTTTATTATTATTGGTGGTCGAAGAGTCGTGTCTTAGGACAGCAGGGCGGGCGGCGCGCGCACCTATGCCTAGCTTCAGACGGATGCGCGTAGAAGCTCCGCTAACATCACATCATTGGAATGACCCAGATAAGTAGCAATGAATTATTTTTAAAATGACGACGCATCGATGCAACGCAATGCATAAACTACACTAATCATTCGCGCCTTCTGATACAATGATTAGCGTTGGCTTCGGTCTTTGAGGTCAAAGGTGCGTGACCTTTGAGGTCATTGAATTGGGTCACCCCGGGTGTATAGGTTTATGTGTGGTATTGTATTACGTTAGGAGTTGAGGGAAAATTATTTTGCAAGTTGTCGCCACGTTGCTAGCGAAATCTTTTTTGAAATTCGTTATACCTTAATTAATTAAATAACAAATTTTACCCTTTAAAATGGGATAAGATAGTATTTTCTTAGGTTAATCCTGTTATCAATTACTTTTTGAGCGTAAGACTCCTCATTAGGCTGAGAAATAAATATCTCAAAGTAATCTATTTTAGTATAATATGATTTGAACCCTTGATCACGAGTATTACAGTTAGCAGGCCATTTGATGTTAAGTGGTTACCGCTGTCCACAGACGAGACATAAAATAAAATTCTAAATTTTTTTTTCTGTTGCTTAGATGTGTGGACGAGCTCAAAGCCCACCTGGTGTTAAGTGGTTACTGGAGCCCCTAGACGTCTGCAACGTAAATGCGCCACCACCTTGAGATATAAGTTCTAAGGTCTCAGTATTGTATTAAGATGTGCAATGTATCTTGGAAAAAAAGCTCCTGATTGCATCGCCACGTATTAGGGAGGTATTGTGGGGTTTATCTTTGTAAGCCTTCAGTTAGCTAAGCCATGAGTAGGGTGTGTAATGCAACTGTTTAAATATACATATTGTTTTTATTGGCAAACAAATAAGTCAGATAAGAGAAGAAATAGTTAGAAGAAGTGTCTCCTGCACGTAGGACGTTGCAATGGATATATATATTACTGGAGATATAAAGTAAGGAAGGGTTGGCTTCAGGTACGTCTGGTCGTATAACTCATACCTCTGTATGATAAGAGCACATTCTGGGTCGACCTCACGTTATATGGGACAAGGATAACAAGAAGTAGAAAGACAGAAGAGTTCCTGATGATATAAGGTTATCGGGGTTCATAAATATCGCAACATGAACGCCACTACCCACTTGAAGAGAAGTGAAAGTCTCCACTTTATTGGAAAACAGCTGTTTCATCTCTAAAACCTGGACGATTCTGCACGGTAGAAATAGACCCATGGTACATACTCGTGAGGATTCACTATATCTTCTACTATATTTCCAAATATTCTCAAAATGGGAATTGTAATAGTATTGTAGCTTTCATGTCACTACTTCTGCCGTGCAGCAGTAATGCGTTTCGGTTTGAAGGGTGGGGCAGCCGTCGTAACTATACTGAGACCTTAGAACTTATAACGAAAGGTGGATGGCGCATTTACGTCGTAGATGTCTATGGGCTCCAATAACCACTTAATACCAGGTGGGCTGTCAGCTCGTCCACCCATCTAAGCAATAAAAATAAAAAAAACATGGTGAACAGTGGCGTTGGATTTTTGAGGTCCGAATCGACAGACAACCTTTCTGATGTAAGGTGTATAATCCGTTAATACCACAAGGTTACTGCTGTTGCCGCCTTCGGATAGCTTCTCATCTACTCTTGTATTAAAACTAGAACGTACGATTGTTTCGCGGCAGAAATAGGCAAGACAGTGGTATGTATATAATTATGTGCCCGGGTTCGATACACTGTACCGCGCAGTGTATTAGCACCAAATTCAGCGGGTCATTGAACTCGCGGCCTACTGTAACGCAGCACCGGTCAGCGTAACAATTCCGTAAGTAAACAAAATAAAAATGAAACGTGGCGCTCAAATGATAAATTAAAATAAATTGAGTTTTTCATACAATGGTATGCGCTACGGCGTAGCGGCGTAGATCGTGGCAATTCGCTACGTGCTACGAGACCCCTGGGAGATCACGTCTAACAGTTTTACCCTACTACGGACTCACTTGGACTTTTGAAACGCAAACTTTAAAGTTAATCGCAATAGAGCTTTACAACTTTGCTTTATCGTTCCAATCTAATTGATACTATGAGCTGACGGATCGGAGCCGTTATAAGTGTTACTATTAACAGTCATTGATCAATAATATTTAAAAAAATCATCAATACCGTTGGTCAGGTCATACTAAGGCGCCGACCACAACTTATAAGCCTTGTTCGACGATCGTGACAGATTGTTGGATGACTGGACGAGATTTAAATCAAGAACCAATTCGTCCAGCACTATAACCTTTGGAGCGCTTAGAGGATTTTTTTTATTGCTTAGATGGGTGGACAAGCTCACAGTCCACCTGGTGCTAAGTGGTTACTGGAGCCCATAGACATTTACAATGTAAATGCGCCACCCACCTGGAGATATAAGTTCTAAGGTCTCAGTATAGTTACAACGCCTGCTCCGCCCTTCAAACCGATATGCATTACTGCTTCACGGTTTAAATAGGCAGAGTGGTGGTACCTACTCGTGCGGACTCACAAGAGGTCCACCAGGCAAATCATAATTTTGCAGGGTTGATTTTTATTACACGATGTTATTCATTCACCGTGGAAGTCAATCGTGAACATTGTCAAGTACGTATTTCATTAGCAAAATTGGTACCCGTCTGCGGGATTCGAACACCGGTGCATCGTTACATACAAATGCACCGGACGTCGTATCCTTTAGGCCACGACGACTTTTTAAGGATGGATGGATGCGAGAATGAACGCGTCTGTTTCAGGTAATAGAAATGTTGGCGAAAAAGGAAGAGAGGCTGCCTTCAGAGCCCTCCCTATTAGACATATAGTGCAAAAACAATCAATGCCCTTAGGTTAGCGAGTTTTTTAACATTCTCGATAACGTAAAAGTTAACTCAAATTTGTATAGAACGTTTGCCAACGTTTGCCGCTAGTTATTACGATAGCGGAACGAACCGCTAGCTACAATAGTTACGCTAAGCTGCCGAAACAAATGGTAAGGTGAAATCTTCTAAGTCAGTGAACGAAACGTAAATATTTAAGCGTTGCGTGTTATACTAACGTGCGGGCGTGAAATGGGGGACGACGCATAGAATTTTTTTTTTTTATTGTTTTGATGGGTGGACGAGCTCACAGCCCACCTGGTGTTAAGTGGTTACTGGAGCCCATAGACATCCACAACGTAAATGCGCTACCCAGCTTGAGATACAAGTTCTAAGGTCTCAAGTATAGTAACGACGGCTGCCCCACCCTTCAAATCGAAACGCATTACCGCTTCACGGCAGAAATAGGCAGGGTGGTGGTACCCACCCGCGCGGACTCACAAGAGGTCCTACCACCAGTAAAATTTTGGCAGGAAATTTCGGTCACGTGATGTTGAATCGGAGACCATGGGTAGCACGACAACAAAGCAACAACTTTCGCGCCTTTAAATATGAGGTTAAAGTATCCTTGGTTTTTGGAATAGTAGGATATGGTTGGGAGTATCCTGAGCTGCGATGTGTATGGTTAGTAAAAAACGAGTATGCTCTGGATTAGTTTAAAATATTTTTTTTTTCGTACCTAATCTGGGAGCCTTTAGAGGCTATATCAGCGTAACCTTAACTAGTAGGTGAGCTCACGGGGCTCAAACCTGACGACGTTGCTAACACGAACCCTAGCAAGAGCCGTGCTTCGCAGAATCTACCACCGGATCGGAAACGCGACCCACTGAGAAGATCCGGCGAGAAACTCAGTGGGCTGTGTCTGAGGGTTAATTTACTCGTCGAGCCCTTCGTCGCAAGTGACGGGTTCGACAAGGGCGATGACCGGATATTTTGATAACAGTAATGCGCCACTTTATGTCACACACACACATGCGCATGCATGCCTACACACACGCACACACACATACGCACACACACACACACACACACACACACACACACACACACACACACACATGCATTACGCATGATGCACACATAACACAATACAATAATACAATAGTATTGCTGGCTAGTAACGCATCACATCGTCAGTAATCGATTATAATTAAAATATAACCAATTTCTGTGTACAGTCCAACACAACAGTAAACCTTCGTCAGTACAGATGCGGACAGCAGCGTTGTATTATTCAACGTACAAAACACTTGAAACGGTCGGGGCCACGAAACTAGCGTTTTATTTTATAATATATAACGCAAAATAATTTTATTATTTTAGTTTTGAAGCGTCGTGTCGACACATGTATTGGGGTGTTGAGTTTGTATAACAATAAATTGTAGAACTTCCGGTTTTTGTGAATAAATAAATTTATATTCTGGTAAAATGAAGAACAATTTTTTTTCGAATGCGTGATTGACCTAACGGCTCATTGTTGTTACGAAACCTAAGATATTAACAACTAAAATGCCATCACTTAGCTTGACACATAATATGTTCTGGAAAGCGTTACTCCTTCGCGACAGAAATGAGCGTTTAAGACGATCTACCACCAGCACGTTCTAATGAAATTAAGGTTTTCATTCTACGTTTGAGTTGGATGCTGACATTCAGGATGTGGTCGTATCCGTAAGGACCTGTCACCGCTTAATGAGACGTAACTACATCATTCACTTCTATTCATTTGCAGCAATAATTAAAAAAATAGGACTGGCAAAGACCTAAAACTTTCTATCAATAATTACAATAAAATAATAATAATAAAAAAAAATTTTTAAGGTTCCCAATTGAAGTTGATATTTATAAGATATTTTTTATATTAATTCATATTATAGATATTTATACGATATTTTTTATTGCAGTTGGTTGTTGCGGTCGGGCTTAAATGTATTAATTAAATAGGTTTTCTGAATTCACACGTACGTTTCGCATAGCTTGTGATCTCACATCAACGTTGGCTACTCACATTGTACACGTATACATATTACT